ATATTTTGTAAAGTGGCCGCCACTGGTCTTTTCATTAAAATTCTCAAAAGTTAAATGTCAGTATATGCTGTTTCTTCTGAAATCTACATATTTTAAAGCTCTTCATGCAGCAACGATCAAAAATACATAATGTTGAATGTTTTCTCTATGGCATTACGCTAACAATCAAATGTTTTCAATTTTTAGTGCTTAGAAACAAGGTTATAAAAACTGAATAAAGAGGAAAAAAAACACTTTTGCAACTGTGCGATCAGGCCTTCTGGTAATTTTACCAATTTAAGGAATTTTAAGGAAATCTGAGGAATTTTCGAGCTTTTTCTAAGGAATTCGAAAATTTGATTGTGAGAGCACTGATCACGGGACAATCACAAACAAATATTGTGTCTTGCAAATGTCTTGGGTTTCAGTTATTTAACCAGGAAATATTCGCTTGTAATCCACATTTGATACAGCATCCGACGGTATATATAGTAATTTGATCGGCCATTTATAATAGTGTATTGCCAACTGTATTCACTGCTGGCTGCTGCTAGTGCTAGTCTGCTGTGTGATTCCCTATTTGAAAATTGTCATTGAAATCTGATATCTGAAGCAGCATAATGGGTATGAATATGATAAAACATCTTGTGAATATCGTTTTGCTTGGTTTTCTTGTCCATGAGGGTTTTGCAACTATTCCGAGGTTCTTTCGAGGTCGACCAAGGGGGCGGGAAGGAATGCTTGGATCACCAAATGTCAAGCACATGGTCAAACTTCCAGGAGAACAGTGGTTTACCCAACGTTTGACACATTTTAATGATGCGAATAAAGCAACATGGCAGCAGCGGTATTGGTATAACTCGACATATTGGAAACTGGGTGGGCCAGTGTTTATTATGATTGGTGGGGAAGGCGAGGCTAACCCAACATGGATGGTTGAAGGAACTTGGATCAAATATGCTCAGGAGTTTGGAGCATTTACGTTTATGCTAGAACATAGGTTTTATGGACACAGTCATCCAACAGTGTAAGTGTCTCTTATTGGTAAATATGATTGGTATATATATATATATATATATATATATATATATATATATATATATATATATATATATATATATATATATATATATATATATATATATATATATGAAACCCAGTCGCAACCACTTGCACGGTTTGGAATCATTCACTTAAGAACCAGTGATGTTTTCCAGGGGGAACGCTGTCCCCCCATTTTTTTACCAGGGGAACAACGTTAAAATGCCAAAATCAAACACGAGGGAACGTCATTCCCCCAGGCAGGGGTTAAGTATGAGTGAAGTTCAGTGATCTGCCATTTGACTCTGTTATGTTTGGCAATAATTACTAAGTGTCCTTGGTGGAAATACTTCAGAGTTCAGAACGTAATTTTGTCACTATTTAAATCTCCCTGAAACTTGATATACTTGCAGAAAATTGTAGCAGACTAGCACAAAAATACTAGAGTGAGTATGTAGAGACTGATAATTGACATCCACTTAGGTAATTAT